TCCCAGGACACGATCCGCAGCCGATTGTCATCCCCCGGCTGTCAAATTTTGTCGGCCCTGAGGAATTGCTTCTCTGCCCAGAGTGAGCACTGAGTTGCTAGAAAAACCGTACTAGAAATTCAAGCACATGTCTTTGGGTCCTATAATACTTTAACTTCCTCGACACAGAGCTTGCAGAGACACCAAGTACGAGCACATGAGGTCTGTGCGATTGCTAACTCGCTAGTGCTAGCGTCAGACGCCCCCCTCGAGCACTCACTGAGGGCAGGCTTCTGGACATCGCAGAACGTCTTTATCAACTACTACCTAAGAGACACCCAATCCATTGGGGAGGGTCTCTTTAGGTTGGGTTCCGACGTAGTGGGTCAGACTTGGTTTGCTGACCCAGCCTGAACGGTCACAAGGGTCCCTGCGCATAGGTGATAAGTCAGTCTCGGCATTTCTCTACCATCAGCACTCCCTGGAAACTCCCAGGTCCCGCTTTGCGGCCTATGCCCTCATGCAGAACTGTTTCGGTCTTTACTTCGAAAGTGTCACACGCAACGTAATATTACCGTAATTGGTATAGTGCAGGTGTGATGGTTCAAATACCAAAATGGCAACAGTAACAGAAAGACTTCCCTGGCGGCGATGATAAAATACGAACACGGAGCCAACAGATGAGGTTTCAACTGGTACTGGTATTATTATACTCTACAAACATCAAGTACAGTAACGCGGTAAAACTCCACTACTCCAATAACTAGATACTTAAACTCCAATACAATTCAACGAGATCTCCGATCTGATCTCAGTGCTGAACAACTCCCCTATACATACCCACACTGTCTATAAATAGACCATTACATCAGCATACATAATGAGTCTGGAATTTACTATAAATTTCTAGAATGTTCCATTACCTTCTATTGCCTCCTACAGTGTTCTATTACCTATTCAACCAGTTTCTAAAAAAATCTAGAATATTCCACCCAGACACAGTACGGTTCTAGAACATTCTCAGTGACACGGAAGTGGTAAATAAGTCGTATGCGACAGAAAGCATACTACCCCCGGAATTGGGTTGGGGTCTAGCTTTCTCGGGCACACCGAACCCTGTCACTGTAGCAGCCTTTTGGCTTTTTGCTCCGGGGACAGCACAGGCAAGGTAAGACACCACCCTTTTTGGGTCTTAACTAAGGTGTTGAGTGATTATTGTAGAGTGTTTCATCCAGGACTGGGAAAAGACTTTTATCATTTTTCTGTTTGCTCGGAAACTTGCAAGCTATCGGCGTCTGACTCTGCCTACAGTTCAAAATAGTCATTTTGTCAATAGTCATCAAGTCCTCGATGTGGAGAGAAAGGAACTAGAGTGAATATCCAGCCGTAATGGCGCCGCCATATGGGCTCGGTCACGTGGTTTGTGACGTAAGGGAAAAGAATCTTGGGGTCATGGGGTTTCCCCTGACCTAGATTCTATCTCTCCGTCATTGGCAGAATCGCTGATTAATGCCTACAGTTCAAAATCAGCATTTTGATTGACCGGAGTTTATGGTGGGTATGAACTATGTGAATAGGCGGGTCCGGAGAACCCTCTGCCTAAATTAACATCATATCTCAGCAGGATTTTATCTCGACCTGTAACTCACTCTGAAATCCCCTGGCACAATATCAACATGATATATGAATTGGACTGTCAATACGAATCGTTGCCAGGTAAACCTTACAGTAGATACTACATTCAGTGTTGGTGATTTTTAACCAGGTACAAAGCTGGTGATGTCTCTTTGTTAGCTTTGCTCAGAATTTCTCTTAAGTATATTCACTGCAATGGGAATGCCTAAGTAAATGTCATAATCCTATTTTTATAACATTATGAACATTAAGTAACTTAGTAAGCATAGAATGAGTAACAATAGTTTAGATTTGTTTAGTTAGGGACAACAGTGAGTCGGGAATGGCACAGTGACTGGTAAAATCAAGTTATGCATCAATGTAAATAATTATCATGTTTCACAATATGAATGACACTTGCAGCAGCATAAAGTAGTTATTACCCACACACATTGATAATAAATATGTCACATTTGCGGATGAACGGTCCTTTGCGGTTTTCATTGCTTTCATTACCAGTGTATCATCATTCAATGGACTGTGGTATCCATACGAACTTTTAAAATAAGGATGGTTGCTACGATTTCCCCCGAGGTTTTGCCACTAAATTAGGGTGTCAAAGCAGTGGCGTAGGCACGGGGGAGAGGGCAAAGGGGGCAGTCGCCCCTCGAAAAAATGTTTGAGGGCGTCGCCCCTCGAAAATCAAGCTGAAACCCTTTGTATCAGCAAAATTTGCCCCTCAAAATGCAGGAAATACCTTTTCAGAGGGTTAGATTTCAAAATTTTTAAGGGGGAGCATGCCTCCTGATCCCCTGGCAAGGTCGCGCCTTCGGTGCTAGGTTGTTGAGCAGATCTCGTCCCTCCATGCAAAATTTCGTGCCTCCGCCTCTGCAAGAGATTTGTGAATATAGGCAAATCATTAGAATACATTGTTAATTGGAATGCATTGAATGAAAATGATCTGATATTATATTGTGTTTACCAAGCACATCAGAGTTTGAATGGAAATGTTAGATGAGAGTTTATGTGATATATAGTTTCTGATTTGACGAATATAACTTTTTGTAATGTATATTCTTATTGTTATGCACAGAGCGATACTATTTGGGGCGAACGCTCGTTTTGAAACATTTTTAATTCACTATTCACAATTTGTATCGATCATCATAATAATGATATAAATGATTTAGATTTGACTTAAGGTTTATATGTAGAGGGGGCAAGGGGGGTAGCTGGTACAGTTTTACGGGAAATAAAAAGGGCTTTTTACAATTTACAGTGAAATTTGAATTTTGCAGTGAATTGTGTCATCTAGTCGTTTTACAGTTTCTAAAATGTA